AAGCATAACCAGCTGCTTTGCATGGTTAAAAGTTGGGCTATGAACTGTATGAGCAGTTGTTACCTACGAAGCTCTACACAAAGGAGAAGACGCAAACCTCCACCGACGGCGAAGTCCTGTGCAGGTTTTGTGGGAAGGTAGCTGAGAACGTTGCACATGTACTGGCTGGATGTTCCTCCCTGGCACAAACCAAGTACCTATACAGCTTAATGCAGCTTTGAAGATTCTGTTTTTTGAGCTCCTGCGAGAGCATGGATTAATAGAAGAGGTTCCACCATGGTACGCACCGGTGATGCCAAAACCAGCCCACCAGAACAGCACGAGTGCGGCGATTTGGGATATTCCCATCTATGCGGAGCACAACGAAGTTAGAGCAAATCGGATCGACGCGCGACTTGTCAGCCACGAGAGTAAAGAAGTCTGCAAAATTGAAATGAGCTACCGATGGATTGCGAGTAGAGCCACGAAAGATGAGGAAAAGACACTCAAGTATGGGCCCATGATGTGGGAGCTGAAGCAGAGATACAGTGGTTACAGGGTTGAACAGTACAACGTAATAATTAATCATGACGTACTAGGTGGTTTCTCTAAACACCTAGAGAAGTCGGTGAGGAAGATACTAGGAGCGAGAGCACGGAGCGTACTTGAGCGGATGCCGAAGTCGGTCATCTCAAACACTTTGAACATTGCCAGAACATTTAAAATAAATACTTAGTTAGGGCGCTAAGGACATCAGATTTTAGGTTTTTTTACTCTAGAAATCCAGAAACACAAGTTTACTAATGTTTTTACTTAGATTTTATAGAGTATTAGAGCTTGATATTATTCTAAATAGGCTCTTAGTGGAGATAACCACATTATGATGACCTCGTTTAGGTATATAAGAGACAATGAGAGTATAAAAACTGAATAATTTCCTAAATAGCCTTCTAGTAGAGATAATTAAATCATCATGTCTTTGCGTAGGTTTTACAGAGTGTAAGAATTTATAAATATTTTAAATTGGCTTTTTAAGTAGAGAGATTCATGTCATTATGTATATTAGGATTGTATTAGGTTTCGTACCAACCTTTTTTAAAGTCTAAGTATAGCTTCTCAAGTGGTGTAGGTTACGTTATGCGTCCTATACTACTCATAATGTGGACAACTTTCCAAAGTCTTATACTGCGAGATAATAATAATAACAATAGCAACAAAGGTTAATTAACATTCCATGAAAAATGGCTCTTTTATGCTAAATTACTAACTACTAAAATAAATAGTTCAAATCTGTTCTTTCACCAGACCAACAAGAAATGAAAAAAGGTGTGAAATTCCTACAAATTTGAATTAAGCAGTCTATATTGAAGGGTACCGACAGAGCCTCTGAGCTGGTTAATCCGTTGATGGGAATACAAATACTGTAAAGGCAGACGATTGAATTTCATCATCAAATGCAAATTCAAAGTTTTTAGTCAATTTTGTAGTTTGTAGATGATGACGAAATTTCAAAGAAGCAAAATAAAAAATGTGACATTTTTGATATGACAAAAATAACAAAGGTTTAATTGACCCCTTGATATATAGCTAGACACCGAAAGTCACTGTGACAAATTGACCACTATGTCCTCGGTAAAAATTTAATTTTTAACCATATTTAAACTTGTCTTTGAATGTTGAATTGATTGACTTCTTCACGTAATTATTTGCTTGTTTTTCTATTATATTGATTTATTGTTGTTGGTTGTTATTATTATTATTATTATCATTATCATTATTATTAGTATTATTTATTGATTGATTGATTGATTTGCTTCCTGCAAAGGGAAGCAAATGAGGATTGTGGCGGTTTGTGTTGCACGCTTTCAATAAAAAAATTAAAGGATTTTCTTAATTATTTTCACTTACGGTTTATTATTTACGTTTATTGTACACCTTGCTAGAAACCATTTTTTTTTATATAATTTCAGTGACTCCTAGAGCAACATCCAGAGGTGAGTATGCTATAAGAAAACAATGACCTTAAAAATGATACATCTCTTTCAGCAGGGCCGA